GCATTAGCCTTGACAGAAGAATGGGGAAATGAGAGCACAGGGTGTGCTTTAAGGGGAGTTTTAGGGGTAAGAACTACAGAATCGTTGTGTTGGGCCTCAACAAACTCCAGCATCGTAAGAAGGGAAACCCATATACCTGCTTATGTCACTTGTAATAAAATATGGGGGGGGGGAGTTTAGCCAGGGAGTAGCTTGCAATTCGACATGGGATTCAACATAGCTATTTCCAAGATTCTTGGTGTAAGTACTGAGTTACACGTTCAGAAGAATTGCATCGTATTTTTCTGTTAGCATGCCACTTTGGGAAGCCAGTGGTGGAGCATCCATGGCAGCTTGCTTTTCCACATCAAAACATCTGCACAGAAAGAATGAGTATTTTAGGGATGAGACTAGGCTAGAACCTTCCCTAATGTGCTAGGTTTCCAGTTGTGGGGAGTTTTTGATGAGGGAGAGCATTTCCCCCATAACTACAGTGCTCTCTGCGATTCTTCCAAACACATACATCGACCTTACCTATTTATGCCTAAGAAAAGGAAGTTGACCTAAATATTTCCCAACATAACCTCTCTCCCTTCTATCTGAAATATCTCAGGAAATACCCCATTGGATTCAGCATGACTTACTTCTGAGAAAACATGCAGAGGATTGGGCTATGAATCTATAATGTTCTTTGAAAAACAAACAAACTAGGACTTCTGTTTGTTTACCCTAACAGATATACCCAGATTAAAACTCCACTTTTCCCTGACAAATATTCAAGAAAAAGTAGGTGCAGTAGATGCTGAAATAATGCAGTGACCCATCCTTTGTGCTCCCCAAAATAGGGGACAAACCTCAGGCTTGAACAGTGCCAGAGTCTTCTCATTGAAAGGTTTGCAAAAGTTGCTTAACTATAAAGTGTGTGTGTGTGTTTGTGTGTGTGTGTGTGTGTGTGTGTCTGTCTGTCTCAACACCCACCCTGGTCTTTTAAGAAAGTTTAATAGTAACCCGCCCTGTTTGGTGCCTAGCATAACCGGCTGAGGGTGTATAGCTTATGTAAGAGGTGACCCAATGTACAGCAATTAAGCAAAGGTACACAAGGAAGAACCGTCTTGGGAACTGTGCCAACATCCTCAAATGTTCTCTCTAATGTTCATCTACTGTCCTCTCGTACCGGCTTCGGAAATGAACCGTGCCAGCCTCAATTCCACCCCTTTCAGCACAATCAGGGAAAATGCGAGCATCTTGCATCGGTGGTTGGCACTGATTTGCTAACCGGCTTTTGCGTGGCATGGAGAGAGAAAAGCCTGCGTGTGTATTTGCGTGGAAAATGTTTGCAGGAAAGTGAACGGTTACAAAACCCACATGGTTGTGCGTTGACAAGAGTAAACCCGAGCGGTAATAAGCGCTGGGCTGTAAGTGAAAGCGCGTCTGGTTTCTGGGGACTTCTCTGCGCGCGGGGAAAACAGAGAGACACTCTTATTGTGAGACAGCCGTCTTGGCGCTTGTGTACCTGCGGTGATCGGGCAGATGGCAGCGGGGCTAGCTGCCCAGCACCTCTGCGATGGGTTGTCGGCGGCGCAATTCAGTCCTCTCCAACTCCGCCAAACTCCCGCACCCCCGGTGCGCCCTTCCCACGGAAGGGGAACCGCGAGGTACCCCCGAGTCCTGCCTGCCTGCCTGCCTCTTCCCCATCCTCTCCCAACCTCTTGCCGCTCACCTTGCCCGGCACGCCGCGGTGATCCGTGCTGCCTTGCCAGAACCTCCTGCTGTAGCCCGTGATGTACCCGACCATCTTGTCCTCGTAAGGGAAATCCACCTTCCAGATGAGGGAGCCGTAGCCAAACACCCACATGCTTCTCGCGCCGCCGCTCTCCTCTCCTTCTTCGCTCTCCCGGCGATCGGGAGGCAGGGGGCGGCCCTGCTGGGGGCTGCCGGAGCTCTGCATGCTCTCCCCGGCCAGCGATCGCTCAGCAAGGCACCCTGGGGCTTGTAGTGCGGCTTGCTCGGCCCAGCGACCGAGCCCAAAGAGAGCCCCCAGCCTCCGCGGCTCCAGCGCCGGCTCCCCGATCGAGCCACGTGCCTCTCCTTCGGGCTGTCGCCGCTAGAGGCGGCTGAGCCTGCGGGTCAAAGGCAACGCTGGGTTGGCCAGCCTGAACTACAGCTCCCAGCATCCTTTTCTGTGCGGGGGGGGGGAGGCGATGCGGGAGGGCTGGGCTTCATAAGGCCGTTGCTTTCCCCCCCTCCCTTTCCTTCCTTTGAAGAGAAGCTGGTCAGCAGCGGATGCTTTTAAGGAGAGGGGACCCACACGGTAAATTGCAAAGCTCTCCTCCCTTTCCCCTTGTCCTCCTCTTGCAAGCGCGGTGGAAAGGCTTTGCACGCGGAAGGTCCCGTGCAGGTGGATGCATGTCCGAAGAGGGCTGGGAAAGAGCCTGTCAGTGCGAGCCATGCTGAGTTATATGGGCCGCTGGTCTCGGTATAAGGCAGCTACCAATGTTCCCAGCCGCGGCTATACCTTGCCTGCTGTGCAGGACGACCCATGGGCTCTAGGGGGCCAACCAAACCCAGAAGCAGAACATTTAAATTGCAGCATTCTAACATAACTTCATCATGTCAATTCATAGTACGTACGAAGGTGCATCTATTAATTTCATTCATATATATATATATATATATATGCACAGCACGGACGCGGGTGGCGCTGTGGGTTAAACCACAGAACCTAGGACTTGCCAATCAGAAGGTCGGCGGTTCGAATCCCCGTGACAGGGTGAGCTCCCGTTGCTCGCCCTGGTCCTGCCAACCTAGCAGTTTGGAAGCACGTCAAAAGTGCAAGTAGATAAATAGGTACCACTCCAGCGGTAAGGTAAAAGGCGTTTCCATGCGCTGCTCTGGTTCGCCAGAAGCAGCTTAGTCATGCTGGCCACATGACCCGGAAGCTGTACGCCGGCTCCCTTGGCCAATAAAGCGAGATGAGCGCTGCAACCCCAGAGTCGTCCGTGACTGGACCTAATGATCAGGGGTCCCTTTACCTTTACCTATATATGCACAGCATACTTCATTGAGTTTCTGCTCACAATGATGATACAAGCCTGGATATTGGGATAGAATCAAACTAAATGGGGGGAGAGTACTGAAATGTGTTTCCAGTAGGGACCATAACAAATTATGACTACCAAGTGCATTCCCAGATCCCACTCACCCCATCGCGCTGCCCGCAGTATGAGGGCGAGTGAGCAAGGAGAGATGAAGCGGCCAGTGCCTCTTTTTGCCTATAAGAGGAGCCCTGATGTATCAAGCTAACAGGCCCATCTAGTCCAGCATCTATGTTCTCACCGGTGGCCAATGAGATGCCTATGGGAGGTTCACAGTCAGGACCATATTGCAGTGGTTCTGTCCCTCCACCAACAGGGAAATGTAAAATTCAGTGTAAACAAGTGTAAAGTGATGCATGTCAGGGCAATACACACACACACACACACACACACACACACGAGTGGTACCTCAGTTTAAGTACTTAGTTCGTTCCGGAGGTCTGTTCTTAACCTGAAACTGTTCTTAACCTGAAGCACCACTTTAGCTAATGGGGCCTCCTGCTGACGCCGCGCTGCTGGAGCCCGATTTCTGTTCTTACCGTGAAAGCAAAGTAAGGTAATATTTCTGGGTTAGCGGAGTCTGTAACCTGAAGTGTCTGTAACCTGAAGTGTATGTAACCCGAGGTACCACTGTATACACACACACACATTACACAAGTTGTTAATATGTTCAGAAGGGGAAGAGAGGTTGCTATTTACAATTTTATTGTTAATAGTCACTGACAACAGTTGTGGATTGGCTGCTTTAATTGCAAGATAAAAGTGGCACTTTATGCATGCTTAACGTAATGTTTGACCCTCAGTAGAGGTGACAGTGCAATTATTGTGCATGCATACCTACAAGTAAGAATTTCTGGAGTAGTAGCCCTGTTAGTTTCTTACAACAAAACCAATAAAATGAGACTTGTGGCACCCTTAAGAGACTATACTATTTTGCAAACTTCAAAAGTTCATGCCATAATAGATTTATTAGTCTTTGAGGTCCACAAGACTCCTAGTTTTACCTGTGAGTAGGTCCACTGAGTTGAACAACACAAATACTTTAAAACCCTTCAAAATAAGGGCTAAAAACTTGGCTAAAAATGGAAGGTTTTGCCTGGCACCTAAAACTAGACAAAGATGATGTCAGATAACCTCCTTGGGGTGAGCAGTCCACAAGTGGGGATTCCACCACTGAAAAGGCCATTTCTCGTGAAAAGGCCCACCCTCTGGGAGGGTTTCAAATGACAATTTCAGGGTCTGGGTAGTTCATCAGGGGAGAGGTGTTCCTTGAGGTATGTAAGGTTCCCTGAGCCATGCAAAGTTTTATAGGTCAAACCAGCACTTTTAATTGAGCCCTGAAACTAAAAGGTAGTCAGATTATCTCAGGTGCTCAGATTATCCTGCCCTGGTGAGCAACCTGACTGCTGAATTCTGCAGCAGCTGCACTTTCTGAACTGTCCAAAAAGCAGCCCCATTTATAATGTATTGTGGAAATCTATCCTGGAGGTTACCAGAGCATAGATGGCAGATTTTAGCCTATCCCTGTGTAGATACAGGGCCACCGTTGTCCTACACGCTATTCCAGCTTCTGTTAAGCCTACAAAAATGTTAATTCGTGAGACATTTGAAACTTGTGTCAGTCAAGCATAATTGTAGAATTTCACTCGCCTTTTTCATCTGGGGCCTGGTTTGTCCGTGCCAGATCTCAGACATCAATGCATTTTGAAGCAAGACTTCAAATGTCAATGAGATCCAAAGCGATATCTTTATCACACCGGCTTCAAAACACTTTCCTCAGATTAGTTTATGAACGAGATAAGTTTGAGATTTCTACTTCAAAAAGTGTATTTTTTTGCTGAGAAAACGTATTGTCGACACCCTGATCTGTGCTAACTTTGTCAACGTGTGTTTTCATTTTCTCCCTGTCTTTGTTGTTGTTGCTAGGATTCTGTTCAAATGGATTTCACGGAAGCCTACTCGGACAGGTGCTCTGCGGTTGGGCTTGCAGCGAGAGAAGGCAATGCCAAGCAACTGAAGAAGCTTATCAAGCAGGGGTATAGTGTTGATGTCCCCGATAACAGGGGCTGGATGGCAATCCATGAAGCAGCATTTCACAACGCAAGTGAATGTCTGAAGCTCTTAATTCGCGCAGGTAAAGGAAAACAGTGTCTCATACAAAAACAGTGCCTTAGGATCCACTGTTCTCCAGTACAGTGGTACCTCGGGTTATGTTACCTTCGGGTAACGCAATTTTGGGTTGTGAACACGGGAAACCCAGAAGTGTATACTTCCAGGTTTCGCTGTGCGCGCATGCTGTATCGCGCTGCGCATGTGGGCAGAAGCTGTGCCTCTGGATACAGACTTTACGGGGTAAGTACGGACCCCTGGGACAAATTGTTGTCTTTTTCACTCTATAAGACGCACCAGACCACAAGACACACCTAGTTTTTGGAGGAGGAAAACAAGAAAAAAATATTCTGAATCTCAGAAGCCAGAACAGCAAGAGGGATCGCTGCACAGTGAAAGCAGCAATCCCTCTTGCTGTTCTGGCTTCTGGGATAGCTGTGCAGCCTGCATTGCTCCATAAGACGCACACACATTTCCCCTTACTTTTTAGGAGGGAAAAAGTGAGTCTTTTAGAGCAGAAAATATGGTAAGTTCGTATCCGGAGCGTCCACTGTACTGGAGTCCAGAAATTCAGAATCTACAATGTATCTGGCGTCTCCTACTAGTAAATGCTACGCAAATTATGGGCTATGCATTCTTAATTAGGGAGGGAACATAGGAAGCTGCCTTATACAGAGCTGAATTGTTGGTGCATCTAGTGGAGCATTGTCTGGAGTTATTGGCAGCAGCTTTCCTTGGTATCAGACAGGAGTTTTTTATCAGCCCTGCCCAGCTTTAGGAACACAGGAACTTCTGCCTACAAGCTCTACCCTGGATCTACAGTTCTTCCCCAACTAGCAATAAACAAAGGCAAATTGGCAGTGGACCTTTTGCCTTGCAGTATTCATGTCGAGTAGCAATCGATAGCTGGTGTAGCATAATAGCTAATGCTTCAATCCTAATTCACTTAACCTGGGAGTAAACCCTGTTGGATAGGTAAAGGTAAAGGTAAAGGGACCCCTGACCATTAGATCCAGTCGTGACCGACTCTGGGGTTGCGGCGCTCATCTCGCTTTATTGGCCGAGGGAGCCGGCGTACAGCTTCGGGGTCATGTGGCCAGCATGACTAAGCTGCTTCTGGTGAACCAGAGCAGCGCATGGAAACGCCGTTTACCTTCCCGCCGGAGCGGTACCTATTTATCTACTTGCACTTGGACATGCTTTCGAACTGCTAGGTTGGCAGGAGCTGGGACCAAGCGACGGGAGCTCACCCCATCACAGGGATTCGAACTGCCGACCTTCTGATCGGCAAGTCCTAGGCTATGTGGTTTAACCCACAGCGCCACCCGCGTCCCTTTTAGTAGGATTTACTTGGTGAGAATTGCTGTATAGGAAACTGCTGTAAATCAATAAGTCTCTGGTTTAAAATCTCACCTCTGCTGTGGTTTTCCAAGTCAAACTCCTATGATCAGTCACGTGATCAGTCTGCTTTTCTTCATGAAACAACTCTTGCCGTAATAGCTTTGTGGCGGGTTCAGCATAGGGAGGTCTTGTGGAATGCCCAACATTGCATTGGGTTTAGCTGTTTGTTTGATGCATGAGCTGCTTTTCTATGTAAATTCACCCAAAAGGCGGCATAAAGTACAAACCGCAACTAGCAGTCATCTCAAACTTGCACAATAGAACCAAGGAAAGTAATAATTTGTTAAAACCCTTTTAAAAGTTAGAGCTAGTTAGGAGTTTGCAATATGGCGGCTAACAGATTGGGGTTGAATCCTGACAAGACAGAAGTACTGTTTTTGGGGGACAGGAGGCGGGCAGGTGTGGAAGACTCCCTGGTCCTGAATGGGGTGACTGTGCCCCTGAAGGACCAGGTGTGCAGCCTGGGAGTCATTCTGGACTCACAGCTGTCCAGGTCACAGCTCACAGGTCAATTCTGTGTCCAGGGGAGCTGTCTACCAGCTCCATCTGGTACGCAGGCTGAGACCCTACCTACCCACAGACTGTCTTGCCAGAGTGGTGCATGCTCTGGTTATCTCCTGCTTGGACTACTGCAATGCACTCTGCATGGGGCTACCTTTGAAGGTGACCCGGAAACTACAATTAATCCAGAATGCGGCAGCTAGACTGGTGACTTGGAGCGGCTGCCGAGACCATATAACACCAGTTTTGAAAGACCTACATTGGCTCCCAGTACGTTTCCGAGCACAATTCAAAGTGTTGGTGCTGACCTTTAAAGCCCTAAACGGCCTTGGCCCAGTATACCTGAAGGAGTGTCTCCACCTCCATCGTTCTGCCCGGACACTGAGGTCCAGCACGAGGGCCTTCTGGTGGTTCCCTCACTGTGGCTCAGGGGTAGATCACTTGCCTTGTGAAGCTGAGAAGGTCATCAGTTGTCCTAGCTCCTCACTTCTTTACATCCAGCCCATCAAAGCCAATGTAAGCTTATCTTCTCCTACTGCTTCCACTTCAAAATGAAGGATTTCCTGTTTTCTAATGCTATTTTGCAATGCTCTTTTTTATTTTATTATATTGTCTCCAGCACCCTCTGATAGCTACATAAGATCAAAGACATTTGAGGGCACTTGCCCATTGCATCTTTCTGCAAGTCGAGGAAGTTTGGAGTGCGTTGCTATTCTTCTGGAATCTGGAGCTGATCCCAATGAGCTTACGAATGATGCAAGCACACCATTATTCTTAGGTGAGCACACCCCATTCTGAAAATACCCTGGCCCAAAAATAATTGAAATAATTTACTTAACTTAAAATTAGACAGTATTTGTGGAGAACCGGCAGATGTCAGTGTTACTCAAGGAATGGCAAAATGCGGCAGTGTTTTGAAACAGCTTGTATGGAGGTATCTTCTCCTAGGGGGTGAGTTGTTGTTTGGGTCTTGGGCTGGAGGTGGGGAGAGGGACTATAAACTCCGACCTTTTCCCCAATCTGTATTCGTGGATCCTGCAACTGGGGGATATGACCACTGGTGGGGATGGACTGCAGCAATTTTGGTATACAAATGACTGGTAGGAGTGCTTGGCTAGAACTGGGGAGTAATCAGCTGGGAAGACTGAGAGTTCAGTGGCTAAGAATGTTTCACAGAAGCAGGTGCACCCTTGACCATAGTCAGTCTGCCTGAGGCTGATGGGCTGGAGTTCAATATTTGGAGGGCCTCAAGGTTCCCTGCTCCTGGAGTCTGTGCTCTATCCCAGCTCCTGCCAGCCTAGCAGTTCAAAAGCACACCAGGGCAAGTAGATGAGTAGGTACCACTGTGGCGGGAAGGTAAACGGCGTTTCCATGTGCTCAGGTTCCCGTTGCGCCAGAAGTGGTTTAGTCCTGCTGGCCACATGACCCAGAAAGCTGTTTCCGGACAAACGCCGGCTCCCTTGGCCTGAAAGTGAGATGAGTGCCGCAACCGTTCACCGGACTTAACCGTCCAGGGGTCCTTTACCCTTTACCTTTAATGTCTTGTTCAGCTATGTTTGCAGACCGTAGCATTTTTCTGAACCATGTTTATGAAAACATAGCATGCTGAGACAAGGTGTTTTGGCGTCTACAGCTTTTTTTCTTTGCGGCTGGAACGCATCTGTTTAACATTTTCTGCTCTTTGGAGTATTCCCAGGAATATTTTTTTCTTCTAAAATATTCCCTTTTTTATGTGGTTTGTTGACAATGCTCTCCATTGGGTCTGCTGTGTAAACTGGAGTATCTTCACATGTCTGTTTCTTCAGTAATCTTTTCTTCTTCTTTATATTTTGCTGAAGAAATGATTCTAAATAGGAAGAAAATGTTTTAAGCATTAGTGCTAGGAGCGGCAAGGGTGCACAAATGCAGTTGCGCTTTCTTAGCTCAGCCCATAGATTTGTGGGAAATGCAAAGGAAGAAACATGTGGGGTCTCATTTCTGACCTCATGCCAGGCTTCAGAGATACAGTGGTACCTCCGGTTATGGACGGGATCCGTTCTGGAGCTCTGGTAGGATCCCAAGGTTTCCGCAACCGGAGGGACTGCCTTTGCGCATGCGGACGTGGCGAAACACTTCCGGGGTTGCCACTTTTGCAACCCAAAGTTCATGTTGCCCGAGGGTGATGTAAACCAAGGTGCTACTGTACTGAAGCAAGAAGGTTACTGGCCATGCATAGCCCTTTGGGCATGAAACCCACTCATCTTCCAAGTTGAGGGAGAGTCAAGATAGCGGCTGCCACAAATTTTGGGCCTGCTACCCAAGCCAGCCAAAACCTCTACAACCTGATAGGGCTAGACTGATAATAGATTTGAATCTGCTGATGGATTTCTGGGTAACTTGTAGTAGATCAATAAGTGTAACTGGCTCCCAGTTGTAGTAGCAACTCAAAGGCTTTCTCTCCCGCCTGAGTTTGGCTATTGGAATCACGACTGTCCTGATTCAGATAGTGTTTTATAAGCAGGTCTTCCCAGTGCATAAGACAGGGGTTGTGGTAGGCAACAAATTCCTGAGCCACCATTTTGCATCTGGCTCTGGTACAAACAGAAGAGGCCGTTGGATCAGGCCAGTGGTCTGTGTACTCCAACTTGCTGTTCTAACAGTGGCCAACCAGATAACAACAAGAAGCCTGTGAGCAGTACCTGGCCACAACAGCTCTCTATCCACTTGTGATTCCCAGAAAGTTGACAACAGAGTTGGGACATAGTCATTATGGCTAGCAGCCTTAGACCAGTGATGGCCAAACTTGGCCCTCCAGCTGTTTTGGGACTACAATTCCCATCATCCCTGACCACTGGTTCTGTTAGCTGGGGATGATGGGAGTTGTAGTCCCAAAACACCTGGAGGGCCAAGTTTGGCCAGCACTGCCTTAGACCTTCCTCATAGTCTTCTGGATCGTCAGAAGAAGTGTAGGTAATGAGGTAATCTTCACAATAGCTTGTTGGATCTCAGCTTCAACGTATAATGTCCCTAGTTCCTGAATCAGGAAGTCCCTTTGTTGAGTGCTCACCAAGAAAGTGCCACCTATGTTATTATTCTGGAGAGGGGTCATAGCTCAGTGGTTGGGTCAGTTGAAGTCTGAAAGGTTAAAGGGCCGTTTAGTGGAGGTGGCAATAGAAGAAAGAGATTCACTTGGTGGCAGTGGTGAAGTTAATACATTTGTACAACTCCGAATTTTGCAATTCAGTTCTCTGGTTGAGTAAGCGGTACGGAAATGAATATACTGTGGTAGAGTGTGTATGAAAACGCACACATTAGTGAAAATAACATACAAAAATTTCATCTGTTGGTTTGCAAAAAATGTGCATGTGAGGGGAAATTGCATAGAAAAATGTGTATGTTAGGTGAAAATTGCACTAAAGCGTTGATGAACTCTCATAAGAACTTTTTATTTTCAATTGCTAACTGGTGTCGAAATACAGTTAACTGAATCAAAGACTGAAAGAAACCAAAATCGAGAGGTTCACCCATGCCTACCATCACTGTAGGTCTGTGAGGACATAATGCACTTTTTCATTTTCTATCTTAAGATTGCAGAAAATAAAGAAAGCTCAATCTTTATTAATGCTCAGTTTTTTAAAAATGTGATGGTGTTTTTTGGCCATAAAGTATGGCCAAGAAAAAGAAAAGACTATGTATTTCGGAAAATGGTTCGTCTGCATATTCTCAAAAGGCTCAACAGATGTCTGTTGGAAAGAGAAACCTCTTTTTCAAATTTGCTGCTCTGGTGAAAAAGCAAGGCAAAAGCCACAGGCTTTCAGTTGACCTAGGAGAAACTCCTTTTTGAGCGCCATTGCAAATCCTGCTTCACGTCTCTTTGCTATTCTTGGCTTTGTTGTTTGATTTTTGGTTTGTTTTCATGTCTCAGCTGCTATTCCGTTTTCAAAGAATTTCTGACTCTCTAACCTCCTGATGTGTGGGGATTTTGGGTTGTAAGCCAGCAGAGTTAATAGATCAATGAAAAGAGTCAAGTCCACTGAGGAAGCTGAGAACAGTCAAGGCAAATTCTTGGCTTAATAGGGAGAAGAAATCTGCTTGGCAGTTCTGTGAGATTTCCAGAATCAGAGGAGCAAAAGCTTAGAAAGGTGGCATGTTCTGAGTTTATTTCCTTCCTTGGTTTCAAATAAATACTTCCACAGAGACTGTTCCGTTAAAGTACCTGTCTTTAACAAGTCTGTGCATTAGTGATTATAAAATTCATTCAGGGTTACAAAAAAATATGCAGTGCCTTCAATCTACGTGCCATATCATGTTTTATTTCCAGAGGGGTAGTTGTGTGAGTCTGTGGCAGAATTTTGAGGGAGCGCTGGGGCGCCGGTCACAAAATGGCTGCCGTGGAAGAGACAGGCCAAAACACAAAATGGCAGCATGGGGAAGATTTGGCCGACTCAAACTTGGAGAGACAACCACCCATGACAAGGTTATGCTTACTAGAGACTGACTTATTTTGAAACAAAAGCTCAGAGTTTCCCGTTCCTGCCAAGGGACACTTCTGGAAGTTCCCCCCTTCCTTTTTTAAAAAATCATCCTTTATTATTTTATTCACATATTAGACGTTCTTTACAACAAACAACTCCAGAATAAACAGACAACTCCAAAATAAAATAATATGTAACAAGTCTCATGTTTTCATTTACACTGATCTCCTCTTCCGATACCTTTACTTGATATTTCTTGCTGCTTTCTGCTTTCCTTATAGAATCTTTATGAAAATTTAAATCTCTTAAATCCTATACCAATCTTTAACAATTTCAATTATTCCCTTCACCTCCCTCCCCCACAGCCCAGGACTTCCCTCCGCCTGTGTGCGATCTTCTTTACCTACTATTATTTTTTTTATTGTTGTGTTATTCACTTTATTTGTTATTCCATCCTTAATATATTATTATCCTATCTCCTTGTTGCCTTTTAAACTTTTAAAGGCTCCTGGAAGTTTTCATGGGCAACATGGCACCCACGGGTGCTGGGTTGGCAACCCTGTTCAGTTAATTTTCATGGAAGAAAAACTAGAAGAGACATTTTGTTCCCCTCCTCTCTTCTGTCTTCTCCCAGTACTTTTTGGTCTTAAGGACATCTGTTCTTTTAAAAAAAGAAATGAAAGATTGCCGTTATTTCCAGTAGCAAACTAGCTTTGCGACTGGAGGGCTGTAACTCAGTGACTGCGCACATGCTTTGCATTCTATTATTATTATTATTATTATTATTATTATTATTATTATTCAGAAGGTTCAGTCCCAGGTGTCTTCAGGTATGACTGAGAAACAGCCACTTCCAGTCGCAATAGAAAATACTGAGCTACGTAGATTAATGCTCCATCTTTCTGTCGTCTTCTATATTTCCACACTCAATTAAAGGAAATTGCTTTATTCACGGATAACACTGAATTTTGCTAAAAAATTTTTGCTGTTGTTGTTGACTGCATTAAACACTTGTTGGAAGGGCAGAGTTAAATTAATAACTAATGATTTTAAATTATGGCTCTGTTGTAGGTATTTCTATTAGATCAGGGTCATCCTGTACAATGGATGGGCATGTATATTTTAACGAACGGAACAGAATGAAAAATTATGAGTCATGCGGGGGGAGAGAAATGTACGCGCATAAACTGAGCAGTGTTAAACTTATATTTTAGTTGCTCTTTTGTTTTATAGATGCTTTTTTGATTTGTTAACCCTATAGTATGACTTAACGCCGTAATTGTGATGTTTTGCTTGTTTTCTAAGTTGCTGGTTTGTTAATAGT